GGAGATCAACATGAGGCGGGGCGTGAACCAAGGGCGACTCATGTGAGTCAGATGCAATGGAAATGTGGGGACCGCCGCATGCCGAGGGCGTTTATGCAGGATGTGCACCTCTAGAGCATGGCGTCCTCGTGCTCTGGCCCTGCCCAACTCGCCCCTGCACAATGCACAGTCCTGGCGCACATCCTGTGGAACCCCCTCCCTGCATGTTGGTCCACAGCCGCCAGCCCTCACGCCGCTCTGCCGCAGCTTGTTCGCGCCCTTCCTGCTGGGCTCCCTCAAGGCCGTGAGCTGGGTGAAGCGGGTGCTGTTCAACGAGGAGCCCTTCAAGCTGGCCATGGGCACTCTCAACGATATCGCCAAGGTGGGTCGGGGGAGCAGGCAGGGTGCTGGGGCATAGGGCCAGTCTCCTGTAGGGGTGACAAGGGCTCAGGTGGGGGAAAGGTTTTGCAGATGTCATCACGTTTAGCCGCTGCACTGCACAATGGTGGGTGAGCCAGTCAAGGAGTGCATTCTTGCAGACAGCATAACACGTGTTTCTGAGCCGAATGTGGCTGGGCCGGCATCATCACCCTGCCCTTCAAACACTCACAGCACCCAAACCCAAGTCACCCCCGCGGCACCACGCAACTCAACCGCAGGACATGGAGGGCAGCTGTGAGTGCGCCGTGCGCGACGAGAGCGCTGGTGGCTGCAAGCGTGGCTCCCTGGAGGTGGGGCCGTGCATCTTCCACGAGGTCCTGGCGGCGGAGGGCCAGACCCACCTGCTGCGCCACCTGTGCTGCCAGCACAACGCGACCTGGCTGGACGCGTACTCGGGCCACGGGGTGACGGCGGAGCTGTCGCAGTGCAAGACGCGTGGCGACTCGCTCTGCCGCATCGACATCAGTGCGGGTACAGGTGGCGGCAAGACTTGAAGAGGGTGGAACGCTGGGAGAGAGAGACACAGACACCCAGCACCGCGTGATGCTGAGAGTCAACAGCCACGTGCGACGCACGCCGCTCAGTCGTTTCTGCAGTGCACCGACACGTTGCGTTTGCTGGGTCCCGTGCGCTGACGTCACTCAGTCCAGCGTGCGTGTGGCCCGTGACGGTGGGCAAAGCTGGCATCGATTGCTCATGGTCTGCGGGCTTCATCCTGCAGCGTTGGTGCAGCCATGCATTTTGTGCGCTTTGATGCTGCAGGCAGGCCCTTGCCATTCAGAATTTGCGCAGGGTCTGTTGCGTGCCACCGGCATGGGTCATGGTCCGAACGTCGGCTGGGCTGCCAGGAAAAGTGCATCCTCCAAAAGCTCTCGCAACGTCGGTTACCACGTACACACACAAGATTAAAACGAATGCTTGTAGTCTAGCCTTGCTACTAGTGTCTATAATCCCTGCAGGTCCCTGACAGAACGGGCTCCTGCTGCATATTTCAGCAGCTGGAGAAAGGAACGCAGCACTGGGCAGCAAAGAAGGGATGTGTGGGCAAGAAAAACCCCAATCAGTGAGACACAAAACACAACAAACCCGCACGCAATTACAAGGCAGCAAACAGGGTTGATTTCCAGGGCAATGCATGCCCGTTCTGTCTGCAGATTGCAAGCACGTCCTTAATGGGAAGGCGGCGTGTGTGCAATCCCTCACGCCGAGTCGCCGCCCTCCGCGAGCTGCGCCTCCAGGCGCGCCGCCACTGCGTCGAGGCCCCTCAGGTAGGCGGGAATGAAGTGGTCGCGGATCTGGCGGGCGGGCGGTGGTGGGGCGGGGAGGGGGAGGGTCTCAGTGAGGGTGGGGAGGGGCCGCACGTCAGGTCAGGGTGCAAGGCGTTCCTGGGGCATCACGCGGCAGGTGAGGGCAGAGGTAGCGGTGAAACAGCCCCAGTTGAGGAGGGCACCCCCACCCCCACCAGGCGAGCCCCTTGTGATGGTGAGCCCCTCAGCCTGGAGCCACTCCCAATCCCTTCCCTCCCTGCAGGCCTGAGACCCACCATTGAGCGGCAGAGCCGCAGCCGCCCGTAGACCTCGCGCCGCGGCACCTCCAGCAGCACATAGTCCCCTGAGCCACCCACGGCCCCCGCCTGGCTGGTCCGGCGCGACGGCTGCTGCTGCTCGCTAGACTGCCGCTGCTGCTGCTGCTGCTGCTGCTGCTGCTGGGCCTGGGTGTCTCCAGCATTGGGCGGTCGCAGCGCGTGTGCAGGCATGAGGTGCAGGATCCGCCCCGCGGGATACATTTGGCGCCGCACCATACGCGGGTCGTCGCTCCTGGACGGCGCGCCACCCTCCGTTGCGCCACCGCCGTCACCGCTGGCGACGTCCGGCCCCCGCCCACGCGCCGGGGGCGAGCCGTTGCCGCCGTCATGCTGCTGCCAGCCGCCCCGCGTCGGGGAGGCACCGGCCGCCCCCAGGAGCTGTCCCGTGCTGCTGCCGCCGCCGCTGCTGCCGCCGCCCGGCCCCCCGTCGGCCGCCTCCAGCAGCAGCTCCTCTGCCGCGCTCGCCTCCGCGCGCGCCGCCGCGTCCCCCGCGCCCGTGTCGGCCGTCACGAGAGTGGCCACCACGGCGCTGATGCTCTGGCGCACCTCGGGCCGCTCTAGCTCGTGAGCGTCCGCCTCCTCATCACCCGCAAGGCCGCCCTCAGCATCAAGGTCGGGGTCGAGGGCCCCCTCAGACCCGTCGCTGCCCTGGTCGCCGCCACCGCCATCATCTGGCGCGTGCGGCGCGCCACGCTGGCCGCCATCGCTACTGCCGGCCCCGCCGCCGCTGTGGAAGGGGGAGCCCGGGAAGTCGGCCAGCCACCCCATGCCCATGCCCAACCTGGAGCCGGAGCTGCCGCCATCCTGCTGCTGCTGTGCTGAGCCCGCGCCTGCGCCCGCCGCCAGCGGGGGTGTCGGCGGCGTGCACGCGTTGAGCACCACGCTGCCGCCACGCAGCAGGCTGCCGGCCGCGGCGGCCGCGAGGCGGCTGGTGCGGCCCACATACTGCACCATGCTGCCCGCCACGCCGCCACCCTCCAGCGCCCAGCCGCCCCCGGCCCCGGCCCCGCCGTCGCCCCCGGCTTCCGGCCCTAGGACCTGCCACGTCCAGCCGCGCCGCCGCAGCGTCACAGCGGCGGAGAAGGGTGCCGCGGCGGATGAGTCGGCCTCGTCGGCGCCGTCCGCGGGCCCGGGTGCGGCACCAAACGGGGGCGCCCCCGCGCGGTCGTCGTCCTTTTTGCCCGGCGCCGCCGGCCGCTGCTTCCCAACCAGCGCCGCGCGCACGCTGCCCACCACGCCGCCGCCGACGGGAGTGCGCCCCCTCGGCGGCGACGCGCCGCCGACGCCGCCGCCACCGCGGGTGCTGACGGGCAGGGCGCCCCCCAACCCCCTGTCAAAGGGCTCCGACGCGAGCGGCGCCGCCAGGGCGCCAGCCGCCTGTGGCCCCAGCTCCCTGGCCTCCACCGCCGCGAGGCACTGCTGCAGGGCGGCCTCCAGCTCAGGGCCGCTGGGCAGCAGCGGCCCCACAGGTACGCCGCCCGCAGCCCCGCTGACCTCGCCGCCCCCAACGTCAGCGAGGCCCTCGTCTCCGCTGCCGCCGCCCGGCCCTGTTGCTGCCGTGCCCCAGGGGCGCGGCGAGGCACGGCCGTTGGTAGGTCTTCCGTCGGCGCCCTGGAGCGCAGCCTGCTGCTGCCAGTAGCGCTCGGCCTGGCCACGACCCGCCAGCAGCGGCTGCGCCTCGCCACTGCCGCCCCCCGGGCCACCGGCCGCCGCGGCACCGCCCCGCCGCGGGCCGCCGACGCCGGGCGGCGCGGGGCCCCAGCAAGAGCGGAAGGGCTTGCTGGCGGGTGAGAGGATGTTGCGCGCCGTCCAGCGCCCGGCCCCTGAGCAGCCGGCGACAAGCGTGGCGCCGCCGGCGCTGGTGGCGGTGGCGACTGTTGTTGAGAGGGCGCGGTAGAGGCGCTGGCGGGTGTCACTCTGGAAGTCTGCAAACCAGGAGGACCGCGTGACCTGCGGGTCAAAAGGTGGGGGGACAAGACAGGGTCGTGGGACGCCGTGGGTTGTGGCGTGCGTGCAGGGATGTCCGGAGCTGCGGCCGCTCAGGGTGCAGCAGGAGGGACGAGGCCAGGTGGGGCCCACAGCTGCATGGCCCCTGCAGCAGGGCCTCACGGCACCACCTCATGTGGCCACAGTAGTTCGACTAGTGCAGGACCCCGGTAAAAGCCTCGCGGCCTTCCAACCAGGTGAATCGCACACCCCACAGCAGCGCCCCCCCACCCCCCCAATCTGTGTCTCGCGCGCACCTCCTCGCGCAGCGCGTCCACCGACCCGATGCTGAAGGTGGGCACGATGTCGGCGCCGTGCACCAGCGTGGTCACAGCGCCGCTGCAGGCCCCAGCGAGCTCGAGGGTCATCACGGCCGGGCAGGCAATGGCGTAGCACCGCGCCGCGGCCAACTCGGGAATCTGGCATGATGAACGGGTTGTGTGTGTGTGTGCGTGCGTGTGCGCGCGCATGTGTGTGGGAGTGCACGCACATGCACATCTGCGCATGCTGTGCTGGCGTGCCGCGTACTGCGGTGGAAGTTGGGTAGAGAGGGCTACTTACCACGCGGGATGAGGCCAGCCGGCCACTCTGCTGATGAGGCCAACACCGTGGGTGAGAGCAAGCACACCAATACCTGCCCTGCTTTCGAGCCCATCCGGCCCCCCCGAACCCCCAGGGGCCCCCAGCCGCGCCCACCTTTTCCCGCACCATCATCGTCAGCAGCGCCGCGGTGCCTCCCCCCATGGAGTGGCCTGCAAAGCGTGCGGGGGCCAGCCACCACACAAAGCACGCGGTGTTCAAGACAGCAGACAAGCCGCACGGCCTGCCACGCAGCACGCAAGCGAAAAGGTGTGTGTGGCCTTGCCACCGCCCCGCCATGACGAGGGTAGGGGCGACACAAGCCACCAGCGACTTGGGGCCGTCAGCCGACGGCTGACCGACCACGCTGTGGCCAGCCCTAGCCCAGCCCTAGCCCAGCCCGTCCCGGGGGCCACCCACCCACGACCAGCAGCTGGTAGTCAGGGTGCTGCGCCAGCGCGCTGATGAGGCGGTACTTGGTCTGGGCCAGCACCCAGCGCGCCGCCGCCAGCATGCCAAGGTGGCTCCACCCCAGCACTGCGCCCTCGGGGGCCACCACATGATGCGGCTTCACGGCGCCTTTTGGGGGGGGAGCGGGGGGAGGTGATTGCACGGGAAGGTTGGCATGCCAGGTTTGCGTGGCAGCAGCAGCAGCAGCAGCAGCAGCAGCAGCAGCAGCAGCAGCAGCAGCAGCAGCAGCAGCAGCAGCAGCAGCAGCAGCAGCAGCAGCAGCAGCAGCAGCAGCAGCAGCAGCAGCAGCAGCAGCAGCAGCAGCAGCAGCAGCAGCAGCGAGCTACCAACGTTGTGTCCTGCACGAAGCGGCACCATGAAACACAGCCTAGGGTAGGCGCGCGGCGTAACAGCTTGATGAGAGCCGCCCATGCCCCCGCCTTCCCGAAAATTAGCCGCGTCCTCCCACCGATGAGTGATGTGAACATGTCTGGCCGCGAGTGCGTGCCGCGGATGACGAGGATGAGGGAGCGCGTGTCGCGGTCCAGCAGGATGGCAAAGGCGGGGCGCAGCAGGCCCGCGGTGGGGCTGTGGAACAGCACGTCAGACTCAACTGGGCGGACACAGCAGGGAGGGGGGTAGCGAGTGGGGAGACAGGTGGCAGGGGTCAGGGGAGCAGCATGGCGTGGGGATGGCTCAGCATGCCGCCCGCCAGCGCGCATGTCGGCGCACTCAGCACTGCAGCGGGTGCTGCTTCCCTGCGCAAGGCGCTGGGTGCTGTTCACGTTCGTCCTGGCCGCGGGATACTACTACTCGCGCTCATCAGCCGCACATGTGGCTGCCCGGCCAAGTCTGCGCCGCCTAGGCCCCCGCCCCCCCGCCCTGCAACGCGGCCCCGCCTGACCCCGCCTTGGCGCACCCGTGCCGCACAGCGTGTGCCAGTGGCGCATCTGCGCCGCCGCGCCGTGGTGCCTCAGGCCCTGGCAGTACAGCATCAGCCGCCGCAGCCGCCGAAGCTCAGCCAGCAGGTCGGCCGCGCCGCGCCGCGTCAGGCCGCCGCACACCGGGCGCCCCGCGGCGGCGATGTCTGCCGCGGGGTGCTCCGCGCTCTCCCTGCGGCTGATGTAGGCCAGGCCAAAGAAGAGGTCTATGGCGTGCCACCGCCCCAGAGTCTCCTGGTACACGTAGCTGCGGGACAAGGGGGGGTAGAGAGTGGGCGGGAATGGCGGCAGGCGCGCGGGAGTGGGGAGCCACGAGTGCAGGGGCAATGGGCGCGCCAGAGCGCGCCGCTGTTGCGGCTAAGGCCACCGCAAGCGGTGCCACAACACATGGCCCGTGGGTGCCTGGGTGCCATGCGCCCACGCGGCTGCCCTCCCCCCCCCCCCCCCCCCCTCAAAAAAACATCTTGTGGCCAGCCTCCTCATGCGGCCGCTTCTCCTCTGAAAGCGGCCACAACACTGACGGCTGTGGCCACATCGCGCTATCAGCCTGTCAAAAGAAGATGAGGTGTGCTGGGCGTCCCGGCACCAGCGTGCACCCACCGCAGCGCCTCGCGGAACAGGTACACTGTCTCTGCCCAGGTGGTGGGGGCGTGCTCCGTGCGCGCGTGCGTCTCTATTGGCACCGGCAGGTCCAGCACGCCCCCAAAGCCGCACTGCTGCCACCGCCGCACGTACATGTAGAAGCCCACCGCCGCAGCGCCAACAGCGACCACCGGCGTGCTCATGACTGCAGCGCCGCGGCAGCGGGTGTTCTCGCAGCGGCACCTGCTGCGGTTGCCCTGCGGCGCTCAACAGCGTGCGTCCGCCGCATGAGACATGATGCGTGACTTCAGCATCATCCAATTTGCCGGGGCACTTCAATGAAAAGCCTGTGCGTGACGAGATGCTGAAATGATGGAACGGCTTGGACACCTCGACGATGCCTTTGATGTGGTGGTGCGCGTTCCTGCGATAAGATAGAAGCGACGTTTGAGTGAGGCGGAGGTCTGACTTTTGTGCGATGTGCGCACCTTTTCAGCTGTGCTTGGTATCAGCTGCCCGTCAGGTGCTCAACTTCAACTTTGCGCCACTGGAGCTGGCCTGCCGTGGTCAACATTCCTGCACTCTGTTCCACCACCTGTCAGATATGCGACCTCAACGTCGAGTTGATCACACGATGACTGCAACTTAGCAACTGATACCACTTTTTCCGAGTAGGGAGGGAGTGCAACACCATTGTTGCACAATGGCTCCATGGAGACGAGTGCCGGTATAGCCTATAGCAGTCCTTACTTTCGCTATCAAGTGCAGATTCTCAGGACACATTATGTGTGAAGAGAAGCAGGTAATATGCCGCGGTAGGGCAGCTGGCAGTCTGGTGCTGCGCTGCGGGCCAGCGCAAGTAGTAATGGCATGCAGCTACGCACAGGCAGCATGGCGCAACAGCTGTGCTGGTGTACAGAGACGGCATTTCGATTACATTGCTGCAAGGGAGCGGGATGGTGTCAAAAAAGGTCACAGCAGATGCAAAGACACGGACGCAGTACAGACCCATTTGGTTCGCTCATGTGTTTTGTGACGCGCGTGGGGTTCTACGGCGGAGATGTGTTCGCCTTGACAGTCACAGGCTGCACGAAAGTAAGGAGATGGATATGGACGTGCTGCATCTCAAGCAAAGGCAACTCAGGCCACACACACCGCCTGCAGTGTAAGATACCAAAATGATACTGTGGTATAACTCTCTCAGCCTTGCCCCCAAATGATCGCAGCCCCCACAAGCACCTCTGCTCTCGCATCGTATCACGTACAGCAGTCCTCCAGCTCACACCTCCACACGCACTCGACATTGCTCCCCACACGTCTCAGTGTCAAGCCCCTTGTGCACAGGGCGGGCGGCCCCCAGCTCACTCATCCCCGTTGAGGCTCCAGTCGTACTCGCTGTGGCGCACAGATATGCGTGCGGCTCTCGGGTCAGCGGCCAGCAGCGTCTCCAGCGCTGCCCGCTTGTCAGACGGCAGGAAGGGCAGCAGCCAGCGCAGGCGGTCGGCTTTGGAGGCGCCAAAGTCTGGGGCGTACCAATTGAATATCTTGCTGAGAGTCACCACCCTGCGAGCGACGTCCACCTGCAGGGAGCATGTAGGTGAGCGAATGGGATTGGAATGTGGACATGTACATGGACGCACGCGCATGTGTGCGTGCGTGCATGCGTGTGTGTCAGTGTTGTGTGCGGGAGCAGGGAGGACTTTGGAAGGGCATGGAATCCTCGAGATGGTGAGCGAGGTCCTGACAGGCGACACATCCGGCTTGAATCTGACCCTCCTTCAAAGGCGCAGCTTGTGCAGTCTACTCAAACAGCCACCCCAACCCCTGCCCGCCTGGCCAGGCACCTGGACGTCCCCAGCACAGAAGGCCTCCGCTGCGGCCCCCAGGCCCTCGTCCAGGTTGGCCGCGCTGTAGAGCTTGATGGGGGGGCACGACTTGGCGCCACACACCAGGGCAAAGTGGATGCGCGCGTCAACAGGGTCCACCACCTGGGGCGTGCGAGGGGCCAGGGGGTCATCACGGCTGCGGGATGGCTCTCAAGGGAGAAGCGGCTGGTGACCACGCGCCGCATCAAACGGGTGTGCGGAAGAAGGGGTTTGGCAGTGTGCAGATGGACAAAAAAAGCGTCACACGCTCCCCAGCTGCGGAAATCCCTGTTGCGCCCGGGGGGTGGCCCACCTTGGCGGCGCGCGGGTCGCCCCTGCCAAAGGGCCCGCTGCTGAGCTTTGGGACGCCCAGCAGCATGCCCAGGGAGGAGGCCGCGGGCCTGTTGCCGCGCAGAATGCCGTTCTCCAGGTCATCCGCCGTGTACTCGCAGCCCCCAATGTTGTAGCGCGCGGCCTGGCCAAGGAGCATGGGAGGGAGGGGCGATGGGGCCGGTGAGATGCGTGCGCAAGAGGGGGTTGGTGCTACAACTGGGGCAACAAAACATGGTGCCAACCTGTGAAAATTATGGGCACGGCCCTCACTACAAAAACTTCGCAAGTGCCCTTGCGACACCCCATCCATCTAGCTTCCACTGCGCATGACCGTAACACATGTGCGGCAGGTGACTGCCAAGCCCTCGGTATGCACAGCGCCCCGGGTGCCCACCTTTTGGAAGAACTGGGCGCGGCCGATGGTGGTGGCGTACTTGGCAGTGCCGTGCACCACCAGCGCGTGGATGATGAGCGCGTTGTAGGTGTTGATGGCAAAGGCACTCAGGGCGTCGCGGCTCAGGGGGGACAGGTCAACCTGGGAAGGCGCAGTAATGGTTGTGGTTTGGTTGTGTTTGTGGTGGCGGAGGTGGTGGTGGTGGCTGTCGACCTCTTGCTCCCCCAAACCCCACGTGGGACTGGGATCGTGGGCTGCATTGTGGGGCAAAAGGACTGTATCAACAGCGCCCCGCACTCGGCACCCCTCACAACCCCAGGTCCCCAGAGGTCACCCACACCCTGCAGTCCCCCCTCACCCTCTGCAGCTCAGCGGTGGCGTCCACGTAGCTCCAGAACGCGGGGTCGCGCCGCATCGCGCCGTAGCCCACGGTGCGGCCGTCTGCCGACAGGTGCTTGTCATACAGCCCCAGGATCCGCGCTCGCAGGTCCTCGGCCACCACCTCAGCCGGGCGCGCGGGGGAGGGGCCCCACCCTAGAAGAGGGGATCCGGGAGGAGCACCGCGCAAGGTTGAAGCGCAAACCCCAAGGGAGGCGGGGCCATGGGTACAACCGGCGACAGCCATTTGAAAGCTGCACACAGTGGCTAACGGCTGAGGTGCCTCCCCACAAACGCCCGCCCATGCTTTGGCTGCGCGGCGCACGCCCTCGTCTCAGGGCCCCAGCTCACAGTAGTGGGTGTTGAGGGGCTCCCCCCACTGGATGCTGCGCGGCGCATCTGACAGCAGCCGGTAGCATGCATCCGGCCGCACGGCCGCAGCCTGCACAGGCGTCGGCTGCGCGGGCGAAACAAGTGTCACCAGGTTGGAGGCCAGCAGCTGCGCCGCCGTCTCATCAGCCTTGTCTCCGCCGCTGCCCTCCAGCCACCGCAGCAGCTGGCTGCCGGAGAAGGTTTTTGACCTTTCCCTGCTGCTGCTGCTGCCGTTGCCGACCGTGGTGGCCAGCACGCCCTTCGCCGGGTCGGCCAGGGCTGCGGCGAGAGACTTCAGCTCTGGAGGGGCGGCCTCAGCGCCCGCTGCCTGCGGTTTTGACGCAGCCGCCTGAGGTGGGGGTGCGGGTGGGAAGGGGAGGTGTGGGGAGTGGCATGCGGGGCAACATGCGTGCGGTGCTGGGCGCCAGCGGACGGGGCAGCAGCGGCTGATGACTGACGGATGGCGGGCCGCCAGAAGATGATATCCCAATGGAACTCCCAACCTCCTTGCAAGCTCCTTAACCCTGAGTTTGGACCTCACTTGCTGGGCAACCTCCTCAGCTTGCTCCACGGCCCTGCTCAGCTGCTCCGGCAGGCGCCCCGACGCAGTCTCCAGCAGCCGGTTGAAACGTCCGTCCTCGAGCTGAGGCAGCAGCGCGTCGCTGCCGCCAATGTGGGTGCTGCCGACGTAGATCTGCCAATGACAAGATGCATGCACCATCGATTTCAACGGTTTGTTGTGTTGCCTGGGCCAACACGCTCGAAATGTACCCTCGTCTTCTTGCCCGCACACAGTGCGTTGGTGCATGCGCTGCACTTGCTGCAACACCAACATGCAAAACTCCAGCCAATCCAACTGATCCGAAAGCCGCCTAGCTAGTTGCTGACATTAAACAACACAGTATCGCGACACTGCTCACCTGCGGCACCGTGCGCAGCCCTGTCGCCTCGTTCAGAGTGGCACGCAGACGCTGGTCCGCGGACACATCCACCTCGCTGTATGCGAACCCGCGCTCGTGCAGAGCATCCTTGGCTCTCTTGCAGTAAGGACAGCCGGGCGTGGTGAACACAACCACGTCTGCTGTTCGTGTGGCCACGGCCGTGTGCGCCATTGCGCGCGCGCGGTGCGAGCGCCAAGAAGTGGCGATGTGGACGGCTCCGAATGGTGTAGATGGTCTAAATACTGTCCTTGCGCCTGCGTGAAAGGCACTGCTTGCCTGCATCAAGCTCTTCGAGGTGCTGCTCGGGACGGAACGCGTAGGTTGGCAGCGCGCAAGGTCTTCTTCGCGGATGTGCGCGGAGGAGAAATTAAGGTGTTCAAAAACAAAATCTGCTGTCAACTAAAGTAGCACTGCGGGTGAACAGACCCTGCCAGCCTTCCGCGCTTGCTGCATCAGCATGCACTTGCAGAGAGCTAGCTGCGCACCAGATTTTCAAAGTCAGTTGCGCTGGTGTGTTGCTGGTGTCGTAAAAAGCGTCAACAGGCAAGCGCCATGCCGCGGATGGGGCTCACTTATGTTGAAGATCCACTGTACAGGTACAGCAGCTCAGGTATGGTGCATCCCCAGACTGCAAGACTTATGCTCATGGCCGCACACACCCGCCTGTGTGCCTCGCACACTCGGTTGCTGCCAAGCTGTCATGTGGCTATTCATGGCCATATCTGCTGACGTGTTGGCAGATGGTGGTTGTCCTCGTTTGAGCATAGGCGATGACAGGGCTGAGAGGGCACACACCTCCCCTGCATGTTGATTACACACGGTCGGTTGTGTCGACGCACCTGCAGGGCTGTCAAAGCTTGATTAGACTTGAGTATGCCCTGCTGACTACAGCATCATTGGATGCAATATGTGCCGAGTGAGTTTGCTGAGTGTGTTTGCAGTGTTGCCACGAAGTGCAGCAACCACAGTTGGCCCTGCGCTTCTCCTGCGTCGGGCGGGTTGGCCCTGAGTGACGGCAGTCACTTTTAACCCCTGATTCACTGTTCAGGATTTTGGAAACGAGACATCCAGGTTCCAACAAAGGTGATTGCTGTAAGGTCAAGTTGTTTGCAGATGTCACATAGAAGAAGAGCAGATGTGTGAGGAGAAATGCCAGGGGACAATCAACATCAGTTCAAGTCCATGAGTGCGCACGGATACCAAACTTGGATCGCATCAGCGTAAACAGCTCATATGAGTTCTGCATAGTGGCAGGGATCCCTGCAGATGCCCAATATCGGTGCATCGGCTCAAAGTTCACATGGTGCTCAAAGATAAACTCATCAATGAGTCCAGCAATGGCTGGGTCTTTTGAAATTGAATCGACTATCTCCATTTCCACGGGACTGTTGTCTATGTCAAGCTTGAACAACACAAAATCACCCGGCTGAGCGAGTTCCTTTAGGACCCGCACAGGTGATGCTGGATGATTGATGTCAGGGCTCGCGGGGACGTTGTAAAACTGGAACTTGGGCATGATGTCAGCAGGCACGCCGCCCCAGATCTGTGCAGCCGTTTTTGGCGCGGCCTCCCACATAATGATCCGGTCGAAATCAATGCCATGGCGCTTGTAGGTTTTGACAAACCATTCCTGTCACATGGGCAGGACAGATGGGGAGGTCGTGTACGCTGGGGAAAGCGAGTGATGCGAAGCGGGGAGCGCTTACGAAACCACCAGCCGCTTGTGTGGCCAAACACACCTAAATTAGGCCAGTACGTTTGCTTGCAGCTTTGCATGAGGCATGCAACCATAAACTTCCTGGCCTCAGCAGGACGGTTCCACATGTAGCCCCGTTTTTCTGCTACTCCACCCCTGCACTAATTCACTGCTCGCCAGCAGATCTGGCCTGCGAAACTGCTGCTCAGCTGCAAGGACTGCTTGCTGACAAGCTCACCTGGGACGGCCAGAAGGTTGCGCCCATGTCTAGCAGCAGAGTTTGGCACGTCCGGCCCTTGCACCCGATGTTCTCGCGACTGTGGTCGTCCCCAAAGCTGGTCAGCAGATAGTCCTTGCTGTCCAGGTACTTGGTGTCCGCAGAGGCATCTGGGCAGAAGCACCTGGGGTCCCGCAGGCCGTGCGACAGCGGCTCAATCCAGGTGGTAGCCTGCTTGGTCGCTGACCCACATGTGACGACACGCTCAAACTTTGAAAACACCGCAGTGTCGCTTGGCGGGCTGGCCATGGAGGTGCCGTTGGCATTTGCCGCTATGGTGCCGAGCCAGGCCGTAACCTGCTGGTCAAAGCCAGCGGCTGCTTTGCAGAATGCGGCCCTGCTGCCGGTCCAGCTCTTGACGTTGTCAAGCCAGGCGCGTTCAAGCGCTGAAGGGGTGTAGGTTGTTGATGCCAGGGTGCACGACTCAATGTCACCGGCGCTGCTCGGACCAGTGCTGCTGCTGCCGCCGCCGCCGCCGCCTGGGCGAAGAGCCCTTGGTGCCGACCACACCGAAGGCATGACTGTTGCAGCAGCGTTGCGGCCGCTGAGCAAGATAAAAGGCGCCCATGGTGCAAGCAGCACTACCACCGCCAAGGCTGCACATGCCGTGCCACTGCTCAGCCCTTGTTGATGCATGGCAGGGTGTTGATGCGGCCCCGTTAGGATGGCTTGGGAAAGGAGGGAGGTCAAGTTCTGCTCTGTGACCGCGAGTCCGACGTGTGACTGTCCGACGTGAGATCTGGACAGCCTTTCGCGGGCGTCAGCAATCACATGCATGTAATATGGGATCAGTCTAGGCAGCCGCTGTCTCATGCCGTTGTCGTGGTGAAGAAAGATATTTTCAGGTGACCGGTGAGCACTGCATGGATGCATCAACCGCCAGGATGTGCACGTGCATATTGTAGAGTGCAACAAGGCAACATAGTAACGTACTGTAGCTGTCTCTCAATGTACAAATGTGGGGACAAGAAGCGCTCTTCGTGCGCCTCGGCAGTCTGCAGCTGGCTGGCAGGCGCGCACCTTGTCTCTGAAGGGGCACCTTGAGTTGTGCCCACTGGCAACGCCCAAGTAGCCACTTGTACTGTTGCAACAGCACCAGGCAATTCGTCTGCGGTCCTTGGGAGCAACAACTTCATGAGGATAACCAAAACGCACGCTCGCGGACACCTCACAACCCACCTGGAAAGTGACCGCGAGCAGCGCGAAGCAAGGGGGCGGGCGGGAGGTTTGGGGGGCGGGAGACGAGCAGCGCCCGGAGCAGGCGCGCGCACTCAGGAGTGGCTTAACATGCATGGTGTGCAATTTCTCATTGAAATTCAGTGCATTTCAGCGGGGGACCTGCTTCAGCTCCGAGGGGCGGGTGAGCAGGATCCACAGTGCGCCATGAACCCTGGGTTTAGAAGTTGCGTGGTTCCTGGACAAGGTGCATTTTCCATCCTCTGCCGAGGCATGCAATGTATTAAATACACCGGCGAGGGGTCTTGAGACAACGCAAGGAGGGTCGTCTCATGTGGAGAGGAGGAGGCAGAGATCAAGCAAGCAAGCACCTGTGGCCGATCAGGATCAAAACAACCAGCGTGCACGCAGCTGCCAGCCACGTGCAAGCCCTACCGCCAATCAACCACCAAGCGTAACAAGCTCCATCAGCATGCACCGACATATGTATTGCACAGAACAGCTTGACCACGAGGACGGCGTAATGGCAGCAGCTGAATTTTGCATGCGCAGCATCAAATACCCAGAAGATCAAGCCGAACTCATGACTGCTGGCTCAGCCTGGGATACAAGATAGCCTGCTGGGGGCAGTGGGCCCACAGCACGAGGCTGTTTTGTGGAGAGTTGCCCTTCAAGAAGCGCGTCACTGCAGAGGTGGCTGGCGGATTGCAGAAGCCTACGTGGTGGCAACGGATGTGACTTGCAAGCTGAAGCACTCCCCAACGCATGAGATGCGGTTGAGCGGCTTCAAGCTGTTGTGACGCATCACTCGCTGAAACCTGCGTTTTCTAAGGAAAACCCTGCACCGTCGAATCGAATGCCCCCATGGCACACACGAGAGGCGTGACGCATGTGCCATACCGCTCTGAAAGCGTACTTGCCTGCGGAAGCTACCAAGTACGTTTTGCATCAGTCACAGTGAAATGGCACGCAGAAGCTTTCCCCTTGCCTGCTGGCAGTCAACTCCATGCCTTGACGTCGCAATGATATCCCTCAAACGCTGTTACACCACTTTCCCACGTTTGTGTTGACCCACCATACCTTGCGCTGCTGCCTGTTTGTACCCAACCCGTGCAATGGGAACGCCGTTACAGGGGGCAATGGCTGCATTGCGGCAGCTTGGCAGTGTGTCAGAAACGAATTGCAACACGGCAACCCTGTCCCCGCCTCAAATGGCAGTGTCGCCCGATACTGCAGTGTTGCCCGATACTGCTCGCTGGATGCTCGCGCCACTCCGACTCCTGTGTCTGTGTCTTGCATGCATGCTTCACCTAAGCTGTGCCTCCGCCCTGCCGGCTGTCGCCACCATCCCTCCCGGCCTCATTCGGCAGTCCGTCGCTGTCGCCTTCGTCGTCCACCATCGCTGGCTCCGAAGGCCCCCCGGCCAGGCGCGGGCATGGAGCGTGCAAAAACGCGTGCAGTGTCTTGGCCGCCCGCGCGCCACCCATCAGCGCCTCCAGCCGCTCCAGCCCCGCGTCAGCCAGCCCGGCCAGGCTGCCCACACCGTCCGCCAGCGCGCGCCAGTTGGCGTCCGTCACCCCTGGCAGCCGCCGGAGCAGCTCAATGCCGGCCTGGTTCACCACCGCCTCCTGCACCCCAACAGCAGCGGGCGCAGCCACGCCGGCACCGCCGCCCGCCGCCAGTGCCGCAGCCGCCCCGTTTGCAACGGCGGC